ATAGGCCAGAGAGAGGTACAAGGGGGTGAGAGGATTCAACAGAGATAGATAGTGCCATATTTACTGAAATACACTAAGGGGAGCAAAGGGTGAGACAAGAGATGCCTGCTGTGCATATGTGGGTTAGCTCCCTGGTCATCAATCAAACTCTGGCCTTCACTGTGGCCATCGGAGTGACAGTGCTGAGACTTAACCACCAGGCCACCAAGAAGACTCTGTAATAAAATCTTTTACTGATATTCTACTTTATAAGATAATTTTAAAACAGTTGTGATTATACAATATATTCTCACTCCTAAATCCACGATCTCTGTGTCCAGTAAAAGTATTTGGGAAACATGGACTGCAGAGACAGGAGTCACTTTTTATAGTTATAAGGTTTATAGTTATAAGCTGCTGAGTATATATATTTTATTGCTCCTTCTGCCTCCTGGTTCAGCCCTAAAAACTTTTGTTTTCAAAGGGAAAAAGTCCAGGGATAAGCTCATATTATACACACACCAAAAAAATGTCTGGGGCTAAGTTTTCTCTTCATCACAACATCCACCTTCACATATTGTTATGTTTTATCTCTTGCTTTTCTGATTGTAACCAATCAGGTTATTTCTATTCTTTGTTGATAACTGGTCTATGCTTTCAAAAGTGAAGAGCTCATTGATATAGAAGCTACAGCTATTAAGAAGCAGGCCACAAATATAAATGAGACAAGGTGAGAAATGGCTTTAAAGCTTAACAAGTCTAGAAATACAACTGATACAGGACAGGCAGAGTGATACACAGTTAAGAGTAATAAAGCTACACACTAAGGCAGTAGAAAAATCAAACTGAATATAAAAATCTTTAAAGAAGTAAAAGTTTCGACTTTTTAAAACAATTACTCTATGATTTATTCCCCAAACCATGTCTCTGAGCCATAGCAGATCCAGTAGATCACAAATTGTGCATAGCCTTTAGAATTAACAGCTCCCTCTCATTCTTTTGCAACTAGAAACAAATCCTTTTATAATCAGAAAATCAATGATTGCATGGAAATGGATGACAAGAGGGCTTTTTTATATTATTAAAGATGTTTGAATTGACTAAGTATCTCAGACTCGTTGCATTTCTTTTTTCCTCCCTCTCTTGCTGAAAAAATAGAAAACATAAAATCTACTACTAAAACCAGGGTATGAAGTATTCCGGAAGATTTCATAACAGGAAAAGAAAGAAAAAGGCAGACAATTATTTTGTAGTACTACATATGAACTCAATTTTCAGTTCTTTCATCTCATACAAAGTAAAATTTTATGAGTCTTAAGAGTTCCAATTTGAAAATATGCCCTTGAATGTATACTAAATAAACAAAAATTTACTACTCTAAGTCCCAAGGAAAAAGATCCTACCTTCCCAAATATGAGCAATAACAACAATAACACGACCACCACCACTACCACCACCACCAAGCATGCCCTTTCCCCTACCACCATCTCCTCCCACCAGGTCATCTCAGTTTTACTTCCAAAATTCCCCAAACTGTTCATCCCCACTGGCACTGGGCACTCCACCACATTAACATCTTTCTGTAGGAGCTGCCTAGCTGATCTCCCTATTTCTATTCCTGTCCTACTCTTAGCCAATATCCAGGAGGCAATACATAAGATTCTCTCGACTTCAAGCTCAACATGCCACTCTTCCCCTACAACCTTTACAAGCTTCCATTTCACCCACAGTGGAATACAAACTCCTCCCCATCAACCTCCCTAATCTAGCTTTTGCCTAATTTTCCATCACTCTTCAGCTCCATTACATATTCCACATACACCTATTTTCTTGACCTTCAAGTAACGCATGCTCTCTCCTAACCACAATTTTTCAATTCCTTTTCAGTTGTTATTTCATTTTGATATTACATTTTACACAGCAAACACAGTTATCTATTCTAATGACATTTATCTATTCTAATAATTGCCAGCCTTCACATTTTCTGTTCTCTCCTCTTATAAAAATCTTCCCTTAACTCTAAGACTTCTCCTTTTGATTTGGGGATTGAATAACACAGTGATGTAAAAATTCAAATAATATCAAAAAGTATATGTAAAGAAATAACTATTTAAAATTCTACCACCTTAAGAGAATTATCATTAATATTCATGGGATAATCCTTTTATACTGCTCTTTATAGCTACATATGCTGTTATTTACTGTGTTACAAATAAGCTCTCATAAATTCCAACTTATTCCACACTGGCTCTCATACTTTTAATTCTCAACTCAAAAACCACCTCCTAAAGAAAGGTGTAACAAGACCACTGAAAAGTAATATATTCCTATTTCATCATCCTGTTCATTTTCTTCATAAATATTTCTCTCTCTCTAAATTACCTGGTTACTTGCCCTCTCTTTTTTTGTCTGTCCAACCCCAAAAGAATGTAAAATCCATAAGGCAGAGATTTTGCCACTATTTGCTTAGGGTCAAGTCCTATCCCTAACCAATGCAAGTGCCCAATATTTACTGAAAGAACAGATGGTGGCTTTGATTAACATTTATATGCTGCCAAATCCTAAATTTGTATCCCCATTCAAATTTCTCTCCTGAGCTTCATACTCACACTTACCCATCTCATTTGGCAGCTCTATCTGTATAGAATATTAGGTCTACCAAAACTGTTCCTCCTCATGTTGCTTCCTATTTTGATGAATGACACTAAAATCAATCATTTTTTCCACATCAACATCTGAAATCTTATACTTGATACGAATCTTCCCTTACCTCATATGAACCAATCCGCAAGAGTTCCTCAATTCTAGATCCTAAATCTCTTCATCCATCTACACCATTAGGTTTATTTTCTCTTCAACCCTCCTACCCCAACTTAAGTGCATCTCTCTCCTAGACAACTATAACCTCCTAACCTGCCATTCCAGGTCCAATCTTATTTCCCTCTAATTTACTCTACATGTTGTAACTCAGTGGTATTTTCAAAATAACAGTATGACCATTTTTAAAACTTTGAAGGTGGACCTCCCTGATGGCACAGGGTAAAGTTTCAGTGCTATCAAGCTATCACAAGCAACTGTGGCACGAATCAGATCCCCAGCTAGGGAGCTAACCCACATGGCACAGCAGGCCTCTCCTGACTCACCTGCTACTCCCCTCAGCAGTATCTCACAGTAGATTGGTCTGTTCTGCTCCCCACTCTGTTTCTGGTGAATTCTATTTTTGCCCCCTTCCCCACCTCTGGCCTACAACACCTCAATTCACAGACAGTCAGACAAATAGGCAGACAGAAAGAAAAAATATGTAACAACAAATAAAAACTTGAAGGTTTCCCTCTAAGGTTAAAGACTAAAATCCTTATCATGGACTACAGGGCCCATAAAACTATCCCTTGCCTAACTAGTCAGCCTTTCATAATATAATCCAGCTTTTTGCCCTTTTCAATTCTTTAAGCCCACTACGTTCTATCCCCTTTTAAGACCTCACGTGCATTGTTCATTGGCCTAAAACACTACTTACCACATCACAGCACTCTTTATGCACATTCTCATCCTTCAGGTTTCAGATTTAATTATTACTTCCTCAGGGAGACTGTTATAGGCAAAATTCTAAAGCTATCTCTCTACCTTCTCCCCTCCAAGATTTCCATCCTCTGGCTATGCAATAATCAGCAATGCGATGTTTAGATTTTGCAGATATAATTACTTCTCAATTGATTTAAGATAGGGAGATCATCCTATGAGTCTAATATTACTTTAACCTCTAAAAGCAGAGCTTTCTCCTGTCAGAGGAAGAAGAGGAAGTCAGGAGATACAGATGCATTAGAAATCTACTAAAAACCTGGTTGGATTTGGAAGTAGATTCTTCCCTCACCCCCAAACTCCTAATAAGACACCAGGCAGCAGATTACTTGACTTAGCCTTTAAGGCCCTAGTAAAGAATCCAGTCAAGCCCCCTGAACCTCTAATGCATATCAGTGGGTACTGCCACTAAATTTGTGGCACCAATGGAAAATGAATACAAAGGTCTTTCTCTGACCCCCATCTCTACCACAATTTGAGTAAGAGACCCTGTTAAAACTTTAACTACTTCTCTTTCATAATATTTATCACATTTGTTACCTAGTTTAATGTATGCAACCTAAGAAATACAGTCAAAACTAGTGTATGTTTGCTTGCTATACAACTGGTATAAAACTTGTTTGTTGAATGAACAAGCTTTTTATTTAATTATCTAACAAAATTCTCAATCAAGATATGCCTTCTATTAAGTACTATACTATCAACTATTTCTGTAAGGATCAATTGCTTTATGGAAATGACTAAAAACAGAGGATAAGAAGTGGGATGAATCATAGTCAATAAAGTATTTGTTCATTTTGTTTTTTAAATCCTCCCCCCACTCCCCTATTGAAATGTCCACTCTGTTTCCAATACCCCTAGGGGAGCACGAACATCTATTAAGCAATTACAAAAGATTGCCGCATAGAATCATTATTACTAATGGTTATATTAGTAACTAATGGTTATATAACTAATCCTTAGGTATTTCAGATTATAAATAAAGATTTAAAACAGTTGTCCCAAAGTTTTAAAATTTATTAAATCTAAGACCTTACTATTTCATTAAAAAAACAGAGACTGGCCCTCCCTGGTGGTGCAGCGGGTTAAAGCACAGCACTGAGAATCTAAAGCCGCTTCAGCA